TATGCATATATACTCCAGGTGTGCCGCTGAGGCCGCATACCCACGACTAACAAGGTGTGCCTTTGGGTCACCAATGATGTAACCAGGTGTTCCTTTGGGTCACCCACGATATGCTAACTAGGTGTGCCTTAGGGTCACCAATGATGATATGTGAACTTCCGTATGGCGCCACATGCATATATTTATGAGTTGAGTCTATGACATCATTGCATGATAAATAATTATTATATATGATAATGATTATGTGTGTGTGCTATTTAACTTTTATTTCTTCATCTACAACTGAGTGAGATGTTTCTCACTCCCTTGTTATTTTTTTTGTATATGTTTAAATTTATGTTGCAGGTGATCATCATCATGAGGATGTTGGTGATGAGGCCTAAAGGCTTCTTGGGGCATGCTCTGATAGGATGTGACATCGGGTTTAGCTAGGATTTCTCTTATGTATTTCTTGTTCTAAAAATATTTTCTTTTCTTGTGTAATTTAATAAATTATAAATTGATTCCTAACTAGGAGGCACTGCCACCTTTACTGGGATTGATTTATAATCTTTGTTTTATAATAACTTCTTGAGTTTAATATTTATGTGTATGAATTATGAATGTGCATCTTCTACCTTATGATACTTATTGTTTTATATCATTCTATGATAATCTTTTATAAATATAGTTTAGGTTTATTAATAATGTTGGGGTAGAGGGTGTCACAATCATCAAGTACTGGTTGTTGAAATGTAGCTGAAGTGCTGAAGAACTACCAGGTTCATTAGCAAAATTCGATTAGTAAAGAGATTGCATATATGATTGTGCTGAAGATGGAGTTCTAAAATCTACTCCAAATAAATTTGTAAAAAAATCTTTTGAAGTTGTTGTAAACGAATGTCTTCTGACAATTATATTTTCTTGTGGCATGATGTTGTGTGGAGGATTTAATACATGTTGATGAGTCTCTTCATATGATGACATGGAAGTCACACTAGTTTCAAATGTTGTGGAAGTCCTTCGTTGTTGATGGGTCCTTGGAGAGCTCCGACATGAAAATTATTGGTTTAGTTACACTAGTCCAACTTTGTGACCAAATTTGAAACTCAAGAGAACTTCCAAGGGTCGACCCAAGTCCAGCAGGATTAGAACAAAGATGGACATTAGAGAACAACATAATTGTGTAAAAAATTGTTCCTATTGTCACACCTCTGGTCACACTAGGAAGACATGTTCAAATATTAGTCATGTATTTAGTTCCCACCACAATTGATCTCTATTGTTGTAATGAGTTTTAATTCTGATAAATGTAATTTTCATTGTAAATATAAAAAAAAATATTTTTAATACATTCTACTTTATTAATTTTAGTAATTATAAATATATTTTAATTATATATATTATAATCAGAAAAATCAACAAGTAGATCATCATCAAAATCTGTGCAATCTTCAACTAATAAATCAATAACATCCAAACTAAAAACAGAATGGTCTTCTATTGGATGTCTCAGAGTCTCAAAAATATTAAATTGCACCAGATTATCTCCAAACTCCATAGAAAGAGTCCCTCCATGCACATCTATCTTTGTCCTTGCTGTCCTTAGGAATGGTCTCCCAAGGATCAATGTAGCATGACTGGATGACTCATCCTCCATCTCAAGAATGTAGAAGTTTGCAGGGAAGAGAAGATCTTCTACTTTGACCAGCACATCCTCTACTACTCCAAGTGGCTGCACAATGCTC